ATTTGGCTTTATGAGCAATTTAATCATTGCATATGAGAAAGTGCAACCAGTTGGATAATTAAATCGTGCTTAACCTATTCGCAGCAGCTTATTGTTGGCATAGATAGTCGATCCGGAGTCCCGAGCTCTGGCTGGGGTTCCGGCTGGCCTGGACTGTTGTTCATGTTGTGCACAATTTGCTTTAATTGCGAGCAAAACAGCTCGATAATCACATTACAACCGCCATGTCGGTCTGTACGAGAGGGGAGTCGAGTCGATTCAATTAAGCCATGGGACAAATGGCAAACAGCTGCGATGCTGTGCAGATTGGTGGCTTGTATGTATGAGCTTGGCACAATGCAGAACAGAGTCCCCCGCATTGGCCGACGGCAAACAGCTTAAAAAACGCACCGAAACGGAAATCTGCATCACGTAGGCATCATATGCCAGCTCCGATAAATTGCAGGGGCGCAAATAAAATGCAATGGTAGGGATCTCAGTGCGGAATTGTGTCAACAGCAATCTCAGTCACCAGCACCCCAGTACCCCAACACCCTAGCAGCCCAGCAGCCCAGCAGCCAAGCAGCCATTCCCATTACCATTTTCAATCCCAGCCAGTCACAAGTAGGGGAAAAAGAGTCCGCTTTTCCTCTCACCATATACAAATACATATATTTAATCTTGAATATATGTACTTATTCTGCACTGTGACTGCTGCCTGCTGCCTCCAGCCTGCTGCATGGTGGCTGGTGGCTGATGCGGCTCCTGTTTGAGTCCCATCATAATGATGCGGCGCCGCGTCTGTTGCAACTGGCAAGCGACTGTTCAGGCCTGATTAAGAGCGCTGCAGGGCCACCCAGGATATACGTATGATTTAATGGAAACTATGGCAACGGGGTATATTGCATTCTTCTTTCACGACTGCAGGCTGCCTTAACTATTACGCATACGAGCCGAGGGCGAAATTTTCAGAAAATGTCAGCCACTTTCATCTTTTGTTGAGGTTTTTCCCCATCACTCTGCCTTTATTCGTATAGTTTTGTTGATTTTCAATTAAAAGTTTGCCCATTTCCTGGTCCAGCACCCGCATGGCCTCAACTGGCCTTCTAGTTAGCCTCCATCTTCCCATTTTTTGTTGCTATTTTTCATTGTTCGACTGCAGCTTCCGACAGCCCCTGACAGCCAGATGGACCATCCTCCAGACAATTGCCATTGACGTGGGCAAACCATTTAGGTAAATAATTGCTTTGCCAGTTTAGCCCAGGCATTTGCAGCAGTCAAACAAAAGCCAGCACTTTCGCAGGCCACCAGTGTACAACGGCTTAAATGTGTTGCAGAAATCTGCCATGAAATATGAGCTGTGAGTGGATGGATCTCTCTCAAAACCAGAAATTTAAAATCAGAAATCCAATAAAATAGCCAAAGGCAAACATTTAAAATTGGCTCAAAAATAAACGAATAAGCATACACACTCGTACATACATATGCTCTCGTGGGTAGTACGAATATAACGATTCTCAACTGAAATACAATTTATTTTTACTCGTATTTATGGAAAATGTGCACTCCCCTGAATGATTTCGCAAGAAGAGTTTTTCCTCTGCTGAAGCTGGTTTCACATTTTCTTGCAATTCCATTTGGTTTCTGGCTGGACTGGACAGTTCCAGGACTGGACTGGACAAGTCGGTCGTAAATTCTGCTGACAAAACTCGGCTCCAGGCACGTTTTATTATCCTGGCGCACTTCTAAGCGTAATTGATTGATTGATGGATGGATGGATGGATTCACTGGCGGCTGGATGGCTGGACGACTGCATAGAAGGAGCACGGCGAAAGCCAGCACACACGCACTCAAAGAGCCCAAATGGTGGATATTAAAGCAAGTTTTGCCGTAAACGTCCGAACAACTTAGCACATTTAATCTTTAATTAAGAGCAAAAGAGACGAGACGTTATCTGACCCTGATTCCAGGGCCACCAGGGTACACCCTTCACTTCATCTTTACCCTACCTCCAGGCGGCTTAAATGATGCGTTAAGATGACTCCAAGGAAGGATCGCAAAAGTGGCTTGCGGCTTTCCGAGGTCGGCCCAGGAGGCTGGGGGCCCCAGAAGCCGCAAAGGACTTTAAGCCGAAATGCGCAAACAAACGAAAATGCCTTGAAAGGGTGGGGTAGTGCGGAGCAGCCTCAAAATGGCAAATGGCAAAGTACACATTGCCTTCACGTAACTGCCAAAGGCATAGCAAATGAATTAAATTGCCAAAGAGTGCGAAATAATGGTCGACAGGCCAAAGAGTTGCCTGGCCAAGAACTATGGAAATGGCCAACAGACTGGGAGTTCTGAGGGCCAGACCCTGAAGCAACGTCTAAAAACAAGGGCGGCATTTTTGCAAAGGCGAAATCCCATTAAAATTCAATTGCCTGTAAATAAAGTGATGGCGTGACGCCCTTGAAGGCCTGAAGAAGGACCGAGCATGAAGAGTCGAGCATGGATTGTTTGTCACTTAATTAAGGTTAATGTGCACGTCCGCTGGCGGCAGGGATTAACTTTCGACTAGTAAACAACACTCATGCGTAATTAAATTTCCAATGAAAACACATCCCACACTCATCTCGATTGACTGCTCCTGCAGACTGGAGCCTGGGGCTCGGACCCCTCCGGCGGATGTACATAGAGTAGTTTTGGGGTAAAAGCAAGCCCATTCTCGCCATCCTACTCGTAAAGCTAATGGCTTGTGCCGCCTGTGCGACAAGTTTATTTCATTATGGTCACAAAGCAAAAGCCTTCCTGCCCAGCCGTTCCCACATGGAAATGGACTCAAATTTAAATTTGTCAAAATGACTGCAAAACCTGCAAAAACGCTTTGTTGAAATGTTATTCTCTCCACTCTTGTACATCTCCGTTTGCAACTAAACTTAATTACGACAACAAGTCACACAAGTGCCTCTAACTAAGCGTCAGCAGCTCCTCCAATCCCTCTTCGCCACACACACATGCACTCAAGCATTTGAATGTCATACAAAAGTTTTCACAGCCGGCCCCAATGTATGCGCATATCTAATGCGGTCGTGACTCTGGCACTCGCTGGGTTATCCAGAGCCAGGGACTCGGAAATCGTTTGTTGAATCTGAAAGCCAGTATCCCAAATCCGTGACCCCCGAATCTCATATTTGACAACATTTAAGCACAACTTTGACTGGCGGCATACGACAGTAGTCCATAAATGTCACTGTCGAGTGCAGGGACGCACTCCGTGGGCGTAGAAGGCTCCGAGAGGGCTTGGACAGATGCATATGCATACCAATCCAGAACATGGACCGTGGCATGCTTATCGATTATACATACATTTGATAAATGAGAATAGTCCAGAGTTCTAGGTAAATTCCAGTAAATGTTAAATATCCCTATTCTATTGAAAACCTCGTACTTACCCAAAGAACTTCTTTATCAAGAGAAAGTTGTGTCAAAGTTTTCCTTCTTCATCCTCCCCGTGGGAGAGGGATGTGCAGATAAGAGTGTGATATGATAGCTAGAGTTTTTATTGTCTTGGCCGTATTGCAACTCTCTTTATGGCCGCCATGATGATGTCCCACCATTAATGCCCCACAAATTGTGCTCCGACACGCCAGCGAATTCAATACGAAATAGGGGAAAAGTTGCTGCAAACTTAAACACTCCGCTCCGCTCAGTTCAGTTTGTTTCAGCGGAGCGAGGTGGAGTTAGTGGGATTCAGTTTTTGCTTTTGCTTTTGCTTTTTACAGCCGTTGTGTGAAACTTTTCTCATTAGTCACTATTTTTAGCTGCAGTTTAATTGTTACACACTCGCAGCACGAAACTTTGCCTCGCTGGAGTGCGAGTCCTCAAAGTTGTTTCAATTTTTTATTCTTTCGGGGCAAGTCAAATAGCTGACGGCTTTCACAGACCCCTGCCCGCTTCGCCGCTTCTCCGTTTCCCCGCTCTATCTGTGGTGGCTGCCGTTTGAGCAAGATTTGTGTAAGCAAATTAAATGTGCTGCAGGACCTGGCATTTTTCCAGCCAGCCATTGATCAGGTGGCAAACGAATATGCCAAATTTACGCCAACTAAATTAAAATTTCAGGGGGTTCTGGTTCTGTGGCAATTAAAACAGATGTTTGTGTGTGTGTGCGTGTGTGTGTGTGTATAGGTGAATGGTAGGAGCTCTGTTTGTAATTACGCCAAACACGTGAGCAATGCCTGTAATTTAGACGCGAGTCAAGGAACACAAAGGCCCAAGGCCTTTGTCCTTTGTCCTGGCCCGGGCATCTCAAACATTTGCCGAATGCCAACCCAGGACGTATTCTACTTAGTGCAATTTCATCCACGTGCATATTTTGCCCAAAATTATACAAGGCACTCCATCACTCTGTTCCAGCTCCGCACACTGTCAGCCCGAGGTCTTTTAATTAAGTGCATGCCTTCGTTTTCGGTTCGAATTTAGGTTCCTTTGACACGACTCACTCAAATTGCAATTTATACGACAGGTTGGCATCTTGTTGTCGACTCAACTCATATCGAACTACTAGCCAAGCAGAAGCTCTGCGAGTGCGCCAGCCAGCCAGAAAGCGTTTAATAAGTGAGTGTATACGGGAAATGGATTTCCAGACTTGTGTCTAATAAATAATGCGAAATTAGGACAATAATCAGTGTTCCAGTACGAAGAGCAGTGAAGGATAATTTTCTTTAATTATAAAAAAGGAAGATGGATAACGATGGTTAAATATAAGGACAGAGGGTCGTACAACAGCACACTTTTGTGTGCTCTCAGCGAGTTCTGTAACTAGAATTTCTTGCATTTTTTAAACTTCCCGTGTTTATTGTACTCTGAGCGTAGAGCCCTGAAAAAAGCCGTGATGCAGCCGGACACGCTAATTACTTGCCTGCTAATGGCTTTGACAGCCATTCATTCTCCCTCCGCTCTCGACAAGATAACGTTTTAATTACTCCGTGCAATGCATTTATTGTAAAAAATAGGATAGTCTTAGATAAAAAGCGGCATGCCGATAAACTGTGCCAATTAAGTGAACTTACAAGCAAAACATGCATAGAAAGAGTTTTTAGGCCAAACTATCAACTATTTTTGGGATCGCTCTTTAATCTTATCTAGAACGTATACACGGGTAGCTTGAAATGGACAGATTGGTACATATATTTGTGCATTCCATCCAAGTGTGAGAATTTTATCTGTTCCACTCTAGGTAGCATAACTTAGTGATAGCTTAAATTTATGATTTGTAGAAAGTGTGTGCGGCTTTGACGAGCCATGACTGACCTTAAAACGAATTCAAATGGCAAACATGATAAAATATATCCTTAAATCTGTTATTCGGGGAAGAGGCTGAAAGGAACTGATGACACGAGTTCTTCGAGTTTAAGACAATGTAGATCTGAATAAATATTATAGGACCTTGCCTGGACCTATTTACCTAGGTATGTATGTACAAACTGCTCCTATCGGATTGGCTATAAAAACACTCATCCATCTACGATATGATACAACAACACTTACAAACTATAGCCTTAGATGTAGCATAAGTAAAGAGGGCGCTTTGGATCCGTTCTTCCATTCCCTCGCGGCGATATATTGTTGAGTTTTCCTTCTTAAGGCACAGATATTATGTACACCTGACTGAACTTAGGTCACTAGACTGGGGAGTGGAGAGTGGTGGGTGGTGGGTGGTACGGCGGCAGAGACAGACTTAAGAGGCTGGCGGCTTGCCATGCACTCGAAACCGGTAGAGGCATGTGTAGGTCGGCTGGCCATGATTTGTCTCGATGCGCAGCTCAACAATTTCGTAGGGCCGTTGGATTTCCAGGTTCTGCAGGGTAAAGTACTGCAGGGAGGCGCCATTGTCCTGGTACTCGTACTCACCGAACAGCACCGGGTCCTGGTCCTTCTCGTGCTCCAGCCCCTGAGGAATCAAATGAATCTGAAATGAACTATGCAAACTTTTAAATGAGATTTCTCACTTACCCAAACGGTAAAGTTACGTGGTGCAGAGTCAATGCGTCCTGTGGGCGACAGACTTTTGGGAATGTGCTCCAGTGTAAACCCAGTGACATACACCAAGGAGTTTAGCTTAAGAACTGTAAGATAATGGCCAATGTAAGGTTTTTCAGGGTCGAATTAGAGGTAAAGACTTGCCTAGAAATCCGGGGAACCCCTGAAAGGCCCAGCACTCGCCAGGCTGCACATTGGGCGAGATGGCCACACGGGGCGTGTTGGTGGGATACCACAGCGGAATCCCAAAAACCGATATCTGGGCTGTTTTGGTCTGATAGCTCTCGGTGCAGCGTGTGGACAGGATCTGGCCACCTGCCGATTCCAGGGCAAAGTCCACGAGGCCCGTCTTGTCAGCATCGTACGTAGCTAGCACGGCCTTGACTATCTGACGCACTGCCTCCTCGCCGATTTCCCCCTCGATAGAAGAGTTACTTTCATTATGCTTGGCCTCGACGGCCAGAAGAATCTCGCGCTTGAGCCGCTCACTAATTTCGCTCATCAGCACGATGCTGGAGCGTTCAATCTCGTCGCGGATGTTGTTGTTGGTACGCTTGTTGAGCTCCAGTAGCTGCTGCTCCAGATAGTCTTTGGCCACGAACACACTGCGCACCCAATTCTGCAGATCGATGTCGTCCAGCTTGGCCCCGTCCTTGCCACTTCCCATGGTCGATTGTTTGAATCCTAGAATCTCGACCAGAGAGAGTTTAACCTGTTTGTTGAGCAGGAAAAACTGGGAGTCGTTTAGGGCTGCCAGCTTGGTTTCGATCTCGGCCAGCAGTAAACTGAATCGCTGATCGCTAGCCAGTTCATGCTGCTGCATGCGCTCCAACAGATCCTCCTGACCGATCTTCAGTCTGCTGATAGACTGTTGAAGATTTGTATTCTCGGCCTGGTTGTCGGAGAGTGCCAGCTTGATAAAGGCGATCTCCTTTTTCAGGCGATCGATTTCTTGTTCGGTGGCATGCGAGCCGGAGCCGTCTTTTAGCACCTTCTCCTCCTGTAGGGCCAGATTAATTCGTCCGTCCACGAAGTCGGCCAACTTTGGGGAGCCTAAAATACGTTCCAGTAAAGCTCCCCAATCGATTTTCTCCAGCAGCAGCGTGTAGTGGGATTCCTGTAGGTTAACTTCAGCCTTGATCAGCCTGTTGATCTCCTCCAGGTTAGCTGTCGACAGTCTCGCCTCCGGCTGCCAGTCGCCCGACCTTTGCAGCTCCAGCTTCAGTTTGGCGGCCAAATCATTCAGATCCTGTTCACTGAGCTCCACCTTGGCAGTAAAATCCTGGAGGTTCTGCTTCATCAGCTGAACGATAATGTGAATCTGCTGAGGCGAAAGCTGCTGCTCTCTCTGCGTATACTGCTGCTGCTGCTGCTGCTGCTGGAGTTTCAGCTCCACCAGCTGCTGGACATAGCTGTTGACGTGATTCAGAATATTCTCGTATTCCTCGGCGGTAAGGGCTTTCCGTATGCTCTGCTCTATGCCCGCCATGTTCGACTTGATGGTTTCGGCTTCTTCAGGAGCCCTAGGCACCAAAGGCAGCTCCAGCAGAGACTTCAGCGAGGCTGTGGCGCTGGACAGATGCCCACGCCACGTGGCCAGCAGAGTCAGAGGCAGCGGCAGCAGGGCCTGGACATGTTGAACGTAGCTGAGTTTCTGATCCTCCTGCAACAGCGACCAGGCTGGCCAAAGATAAAGCGAAACAAGGCATTATTAGTTGGCAGTCCTTCTACATTCCGGTTACCCCCACAGTTTTTAGATATTCAGGGCATGGGCTACGGGGGAAATTCGATTTTTGGGGAATGCCAACACATGAAGAAATGCAGAAGGATAGAGTTCGGTTCTGGCCAACTAATATTGCTTGTCGTGTCTACTTACCATTTCGCATGATTCCATCAAATGGCAAATAAAACAAACGATTCTTCTTGTCTTGATGTTTTGCATGAAATCGTTTGCAGTTTATTCTTTTGTACAAGACTCTTACACAACAAACAGTGAACAAATTACAATTAACGTTGTCCGACAACAATTATAAATTGTTTGAGGCACACACATGTTCGGTTCATGTGAATGAATGTAAATCATTTATAAAAATGTTCTGCAATATGTATAGGTGGCGGCGAGCTCTATCCTTCTTCCATCAGCCTGTGATTTGACATTTTGTTGGATGTTGTTGGGGGAATTGTGTGGGTTAGTGATGTGGGGAAATGGAAAGGAGTTTTATATGTATGGACAGTCAATGAGCAGGTAAAAAAAACTCAACAAAAATAGACCAACTTGTGGACGAACCGGACTGACAAGCCGTAAGAAAATGAATCAAATGCTTTTTAATTTGTACTTCAATTGATCGTAAAGTTAACACATATCCACGATCAGATATGGACAGAGAGAGAGAGAGAGAGTTTATCTATCAAGAAAGCAGCTGCTGCAGCAGCTCAAAAATAAAGCGGCACGATAGCAGCTCAAGATGTTCCCTAAACACGCTCATAGTAGACCTGATCGTCGGCCTGAAACAACTGGCGTCCGCGGGCTGCCACGTTCTGGCCGATAGTTTTCAAATACAGCAGATAGTCGTCGGCCCAGTCACGCACGCGGACCGCCTGCTCGGCGGCCTGCGAGCGCACCGATTCGTACTGCGCCTGGTTCAGGTAGTCACCGACATTGATCTTGGGGAAGGTGAACGTGTATTCGGACAAGGATTTGGGTGGGAAAGTTTCGTTGGGATGGAGGTAATAGAACAGACCTGCAAAGGCGAAGCACATTAGGCATTGGTCTTTTGGAAATGGCCATAGTAAAATATATATGCACGTGGCCCGTGGCCATGGCTATTTGTAGATCTATGTAAATCAATGCAAACGTGTTGCTCTCCACAACGTTCAGTCGCGCGTATAAATAATTCCAACAGTGGTCGACTCTATGCATATGGCACTAGTTGTCGACCCAATTCAAGGTCAGGGCGCACGCTCACATATATTTTACTTAACCTCCGGCAAATGTGTAGCACAGCTCTACTCACCCGTCAGCAGCAGCAAGGGCAGCAAGATCAGCAGCAGTATGAGAAAACGCTTCTTCGACTTGTTTTCCACATCCGAAGATCTCAGCAGCCACGTGTCCAGACTCAGTACCGATCCAACGAACAGATAGACGTATTGCAGAAGACTCGACAGACTGTCGCCCATGGCATTGCCAATCCGTCCTAGCACACTGCGTTCTTGGTTCCTTTGCTGCCTGGCGTAATAGGTTTGATACGCATTCGTCTCTGTGGCCGAAATGTTGGTGATGCGCGTCCACATGGTCGTGACGGTGCTCAGGACGACATGGATGAGACGGACCAGCCAAAAGCTCTGCTTTTGCTGCTGTCCAAACGTTGTGGCGTCCAGCTCGTCTGCCGAATCGTAGTTCAAGTACTGCGATTTCCTTGACTGGTAGCGACGACGGATGAGCTCTTCCTGGTCCGGATTCTGCTGGACCATTAAGTTCACACGGGCATCATGGTTGGCGAGGCTACGACGAGACATATTGGGCATGGCCACAACACCTGGGGCCAATTGGCGGCGATGTGGGGACAGCTGTGAATATGTGTAGTCCGTCTTGGGTGTATTGCTGGAAAAGAGAGCAGATTTCGTTAGGTGACTGTAGGACCAGGAAAAACCAACTTCAATCCTCTACTAACTTCCAATATTCGCCAGCATTTTTGTACTCGATATAGGCGACGCTGGGATCCACCGTACTGTGGGTGCCGTTCGAGCGCTTGCTGCTGTTCAGCTGCTCGCGGGCGGTGTTCAGCACATTTTGCTTGGTCTCCAGTTGGATCTTATTGTGGGGGGTCGATGTGGCACCCATTCTGTTGGTGGTGATTGACGTGACTGTTGTGGTGGTCGAGGTCTGTTTGCGCTTAGCGTCCGGAGTAATGTCATCGGCCGAAAAGTCGGAGGTCATCTGGGAAAATGCTTTGTTCCGTCCCTTCTTGCTGATGCTCGACTCCACCACGACACTCTCCTCGATGATCGTACTGCAAGTGGTGGGATATAGAAAGCTGTTTAGTAAGGTTTGGCGACAATATCTCCACTCCGAAACTGTGTAAAGCAGTTCTACAACGACGTATCAAAACAAAAATATAAAAATATGCTCATGAGCTGCTCTGACCTTCAGTGTTTAATGCCCGTCCGCCCCAGCATGCTGGGTTTTGTGGCTAAAACGTGAAAACGAATCTATGATGGCCAGCCCAGAGCATGTTGCTGTGACTGCCAGATGTCGTCATCAACGAAACGACGACGAAGTTTATTTGATTCATCAACTACACGGTAAAAATGCGCGCCAAAGCCGAGTAAAGCTACATATACCACAGCCGAACACACCCTGTACGGCAAACGCACACACACAGATAAACATGTGGATTTGCCTTCGTTTTCATTTGCCCGCCTGCTCTTTCGAAATTGAATTTCGCGTCGAGTGTAAATAACAAGGAGATGACGTCATGGACCCAAACACCGCTACAAGCAGACACACTGTATGGGGTTATTGCTATGGTTGCGACGCTGCCCCAACGATTGTTGAGACTCGCGTGCCTGGGCCACATGCCGAAGAAACTCCATTTACTTCCACTGCCCACCCGAAGAGTATTCTAGACTGCTGATAGCAATGGCATGTTGAGTGATAAGCAAATGCTGTAATTAGGTCTATTTTGGGAAGGGAGAACAACCCTTCCCCCCATTCGGCCATACTCACTGCACATTGGGAGCCTGCGCCGACTTCTTCTTCTGGTGATGCACATGTCCCTCCTCGCCAGCATGCTCGCAATTCTCATGATCGCAACTGGAGCGAAGGAAGGGGGTCTTGGAACGCGAACGACGTCGCGTCTCTATCTGGTACGTATCATCGCTCATGATTAGATTCTGCTGCTTCTCAAATGTCTTAGGGCCAGCTGAAGGTTGCTGCTATTGGTTGGCTGCAAACGGAATGGTAAAATGGAAATAAACATTAAAAGGTTTTTGTATGTGTGTGTAAACTAGGCGTGGGTTGTTTACAATTGGACAGACAGACAATCCACAACACAACGGATTTCTCCTAAGAGACCGTAATGACGAAATATTTGACATACTACTTTATGGCTAATTTGTAGTTAACTTCTATGCTCGAGTGCTTATTGACAGAAGCTCCCTCCCACAGCATGAGCATTAAATTATGCAATGCGATGCGTGTTGAAATGAGCACAGTGCCTGGTTTTTAATTAGAATGCAATGGGTAGGTAGGGGTTAGTGTAGGCAGGCTGGGGGCTAGAAAGATTCAGTCTAAAAATAAAGCAAGAGCCATTTCGAATTGCGAATAGCTTGTCAATGACCGTGGAGTGCGGCGAAAAAGTGTTTTCTCTTTAATTCTCAGCAGAAAGGAAAATTTCACAGACATAAGTGGAAAGAGGCGTGTACAGGCTGCCTACCAGAAGAATAATCAATACAAATTGCCCAAATATTCGTTCCGAGCGCACGCAGATTTCGTTTAAAATGAAAACCTAAACAAGTTTTCCATAGCCGCGTCACTAGTAGCGTCGACAGCGGCGGTTTAGGTGAAAAACGGAAGCACACACACAAACACTCTCGAATCTCAACATGTTTAAGCATGTATGGCGCATTTTCCACTTACTTTTTACACATACAGTTTATATCGCAATTGGTGGATTTAGAGTTTAATACAATGTTTAGGATATTTGCAAGGGCCGCGCCGTTTTTTAGAATAACACAGAAGCGTGAAAATCACGTCTATCGGCGAAAAAAAATGCTAACAAAATGTTAAAACATGCCGTCAGACCAGTGTTACCATTTTAGCTTATTTTAAGCTAGATTTGGCTTTTTTTTAAACCAAATTGTTGTAAAATATTTGAAATTCTTATAGCTTGAAATCTAGCTTATTTAAAAGTTCATTTAGCTTATTTTGGCTTAAAATAATTAGTACAAAACAATTTATGTTCTATGATTTTTTTGTAATATTTGTTAATTTTTAGCGAGAAATCTGATAAAAATCATATTTTTTGTTCATATTTTGGTATCCAATTTTGTGTATAAATGTATAGTCATTTTTCGTTGATAAATTTTAGTCACACTACAGTATTGTTTGCACATTTACATAAGATAAAATGCCGAAAGTGTCTTATAATCAAAATTTCCACAATTTCTGTCTAAATTTTTAAGAATTTAATGCAATGCAAGCATGGCACAAACTAAAAAAATACCTTTTATTAAAAAGTCCTCAAGAAACAGAGGAGCAGGAGGCTGTGGTTTGTTTGTACTTTTCTGAGCACTCGGCCACAGCATAATGAAGTGGAAAAAATCATGTCATTACTTAAATAATAAATAAAAATAAAAAATTATATCGACAAAATTAAAGTATCCATGATTTTGATGTTTTTTATGTTTTAAGCTATTTTTTAAATTTTTAGCTTATTCTAGCTTATTTTTTTCTTCAATCTAGCTTATGGGGACTCTCAAAATCTGGCAGCACTGCGTCCGACCATCAGATATATACCAAAGTATACCGTCTCATTTTAAAAATATACCGTAAATATACTGACGAATTCAAGTTCTATTTTACATATTCCTCGTTTTTGATATTCCGGGGAATAATCTCAGCTATATAGCACATTTAGCCATACCCACATAATTTTATACGATTCATGAATAATTTTTCTACTTAACTTCTACTTTTGCATAAAAAAAGGTTTTAGCGAAAATGGTCAAACAAAAAAGGTTTTAGCGAAATAGGTCACAATAGGTCAAAAAACGAAAGGGGATAGTCTTTCCAATTGCTCAATTTCTTTATTCCCTTGAATAATTCTGGCTAACTAAAACCCTTAATTATGCCCACAATTTTAGGCTGTTGATGAATAAATTTTCTTCCAGATTGGCTAGTTTTTAGTCCTTGCTTTCATTGTATTTTGGCTAAAACAAGGCTTAAACAAAATAGTTCAACAAAAAACAGTCACAATGTTTCTCGTATGTGAAGACATGATGCGTTAATATATTTGGTCTTATGATAAAATTAGTTTAAAGTATTAGTTTGAAGAATTTATTTTTGCTCCTTTTCCCTCGCCATAATTATTATGATGTCTTTGACCAGTTTGGAGCTAAAATTCTTTAAGTTGTATGGTTTTCAAGTGTATTTAAATACCCATTGGCCTTAATGGGTTAAAAAGTGGTAATACGGCTTGCGTTAACCAAAGATAGTCACTAATATTCGGGGAAAATTATTACTTAATAAGAGAACTAAGTATGCAATTAAAAAACAAATACAATTACTAAATACGAGAAAGGTACGTGAATAATAGTAATGTAATAAGAGGAGGGAAATTAGTCGTGGATATGATATGGTAGAGTGAATTATAATCCGAGCTGAAGACCCTATTAGGGGAGTCTGAAAGGAATCGTGCAGTTTTTGCGACTCAACAATTCAGGGCTATCAACGTTGTGCATAAAAATCACACTAAGCTTTTTTCTACGGTTTATTAATATCAATCTACTAGAGTACAATGGCATTCTCACAGCTGCATCGTAGTTAAGGCCCCGCAGAAAACAACGTTAGTTTTTATACCCGATACTCAAAATGAGTATTGGGGTATATTAGATTTGTGGTAAAAGTGGATGTGTGTAACGTCCAGAAGAAATCGTTTCCGACCCCATAAAGCGCCTAGTGCTCAAAGACTGTAAGAGCTAGAGCAACAAAATTTTATGTGTGGACTTCTGGGATATGTCACTGTTTCAAGTATATTTCAAAACTTTGCCCCGCCCCCTTCCGCCCACCCAAAGGGCGAGTTCTGTGGCATCCACAATTTCAAAGATACAAGAAAACAGAAAACGCAGAATCGTAGAGGGCTAGATCTTCTAGAGTGCAAAATCTGAACCTGATCGTATAATTATTATAGCCAGAATCAAGAAAAAAAAATTCATTCTTTCTCGCTGTGTCTCTCTCTAACACACAGGTTACATGGTCGGCTTTGCCTATTGCGAAATGTGAGTTCAAGGATCTCAGAGATTATAAGAGCTAGAGAAACCATATTTGGTATCCACACTCCTCTGATATCGGACCTTGACCATATCTATCAGATTCCTGAATCTGGATCAAATCGGATAATAATAGCAAAAAAGGAACAAATTAATTTGCAGTGGCAACGCAGCGCCCGACGATAAATTTGATAAATTTTAATCAAAGGCCATTATTTTCTTATCCAAAGTAAACCAATATAATTTATTTTCAGTGTGTAAAGAGTTTCTTGACATATGTACTGTATATGTATTTTCTAATCAGGTTCGCAGCAACTGCAGACAGTATGGGCCGGAGCGACAGCAGGTGCCGCTGCATATTCGGAGGTCAGTGGTGAGGGGTATGCGTCGGCAGAGAAAGGGTGGACCGCCAGGCGTGTAGCACTGCCGCTCGCAGACCATGCCCCCCGCCGGGACTCGGACGGGTGTGGGCCTGCAATGGCCGTTGCGCACTATTTGAGCGTGAGCTTCGAACGGCAGCGCTGTCATCAGCACCATCATCGACAGCAGAACCAACAGGGAGCTGGAGCAAGTCATTTTCGACTCTTTCTGATATAGTTTTATGATCTGCGTTTTATATGTAGTGTTCTCAGTAGCAGCGCAATTGAAGCAGAGAAATTTACCGTTTTAAGCTTGGACAAACAATAGAACAGTTTTCCTCCTCCCAATAATGAAAAGAAAAAACCCAACAAAGGTCGCGCAACTGTTTTTTTTTTGTTCAATTTACAAAAGCAGAAAAAAGAATCAAAAAACAATAAATTACGAGCAGATGTTTTTATCAGATCAATGGACTCCTCCGATCTCTTGTTAACAAGCCTCTGCCCAATTGATTGAGAAAAACAAGCTTCAAGAAATAACGTTCTATCTAAAGTTAAGATACACCAGCATTACATAATAATTATGACGAGTTTGACCGAGCGAAGTATCCAGGAGGAGAATTGATTTTTGAAGTTCCATTTTAAAGGAAACGTAAATTGCCATAGGGTGTAAAACTTCCATAAGCTCGGTGCTTCCCTGCATCATTTATTCAATTGCATTCGTATCCGTGTCACTCATTCACTTTCAAACAGTTCCACTTTACCGCGCAGCTCTAGAGATTATCAATAGCCTTTTTTACCGCGCGAGATTTGCTCTCTTTCAGTGTATTTCTGATTTTCTTGGTTGTTTTTTAAGTAAAGAGGAAGAAGAATTGTACGAAAAGAGGAAGGATAGGATGGACAACCAAGAAGAATTTACAAAAAATATTATTTTCCGCGATTTAGCTCAAGTTGCTGACCTGTTTAAATAGAGGGGGGCTGAGTGGGCTAATAATGCCACGAAAAAATGAGTTCTAGTTCGGCCTGTAAGGACAAGGTATATTAGGCAAAAGGGGTGGATTTTACCTGCATGCGTTGGCTTTTCTGGGCCGTTTTAACGCTTCTCCATACCCTCTGTTTCCAACCATTATGTAGCAGATGTGTAGCAAATGTGTAGATACCGTGCAGTTCTTTTAACAGCTGGTCTTCAATCTGTCCCTCTAACTATAATTTGCAGTGGAAATTGTAGACAAAAATGATAGAAATAACTTGCAACGATCGACTGGGCAAGAAGGTAAATACCTAAGCATGCATAAAGATTGTGCATAAAATTTCACACATATCCCGCAGGTGCGTGTCAAATGCAATCCGGACGACACTGTTGGAGACTTGAAGAAACTTATAGCGGCACAGACGGGCACAAAGCACGAGAAGATTGTCCTGAAGAAGTGGTACACAATCTACAAGGATCCCATCCGCCTATCTGATTGTACGTCATTGAATAGTGTACATCCAACAATCTTTTAAACGTTTTCCTTTTTGCACACCTCTCCTACAGATGAAATCCATGACGGCATGAACTTGGAACTTTACTACCAATAAATATGCATTAGTGATGCCTTAACCTTAAGCATCGCGCGGGTGTCCCTTTTTATAGCTTCTATAGATAAATAAAAAAATTTTAAAAATACATATTTTTTTGCCTTTGTTGTTCTGGTTCGATATCTTTTAAGCAATTTTGTTCGATAGAGCGAGCGCGTTGTGGCGTTGCCATATCATCAAGAAGGCGTCTAACAAAACAATAACAAGAGTGGAAATTAAATTTGGACTGTCGAAAAACTCGTAATAATGCCAATGATACCTTTCTTTCCCAGTCTGAAAGTGTCGGTGGCCAATCGCTATTGGCTTGACATGGCGCCAGCATCCGTTAGCGAGGAGGCACAGACCAGGCGCTACGAGGACGAGCGTAGCAACTGGGTACGGACTGCACTCTTCGCCTTAATTTTGGGCCACAATTTGCAACCATTGTTTTTTTTTGCAGCGCGAATCCCTCAAAACTGCTGGGACCGACTTGCAGCCCTTGGGCAAGATGCTGACGATACCAGGAATCGAGACGGATGATGAAGATGGTGAGTTGAAACGAGCTCTTCTCGGAAGTCCCTTCTATAGTGTCCCCCTTCTATAGCCAACGACGACAGCGAGGACACGGACAGTCACGACGAGGAGGATGACGAGACCAACGATCGCGTCATTCCAGTCACTCAAGACTTTTATACGCCAGATGATGTTGATGAATGAGGCGACTTCACTCTCAGCCCATTGAAGTTAATGCAAAGGCAGATTCGTTAGTGGATACACGATTAACTATTTATTTTTCCGTCACACAACGTTCCCTTCAAAAACTATAATAACATATTTAGTTTACTGTAAGCTTAAATAAATTAAAACATTGTAAGCAAATCAGTTGGAGGATTTCGCACTGGATCTGTCGATTATGTTACAATTTTGCAACTAGTTGCGAACTGGTTTCGGGAAAAGCACGAACAAAAAAGATCAGGAAACTGGGCTTTACTTGTGCAGAGCCGCTGTCTCCAGCTTGGGAGCTGGCTTCGAGGCGAAACCAGCAAGCAGCTTCTTGATCTCGGCAATAGCGCGGCCTGGGTTCAGGCCCTTGGGACAGGTGCGCGTGCAGTTCATGATGGTGTGACAACGATAGACGCTGAAGGGATCCTTTAGTTTGCTCAGACGCTCGGCAGAGTTCTCGTCACGCGAATCGATGATCCACCGGTAGGCCTGCATAAGGACAGCAGGTCCCAGATACTTCTCGGCATTCCACCAGTACGATGGGCAAGAGGTTGAGCAGCAAGCGCACAAAATGCACTCGTACAGACCATCTAGCTTGGAGCGATCCTCCACCGACTGCAAGTACTGGGCCCGGCCCTTCTTTTCGCCAGCTTCGTTTCTGTATGAATGAGGTAGAAGTGAGAAAAGTGATGAGAGCCATCAAAGTTTTGTGGGCGTTCCGTCTACTTACTTGCGCTGCAGCCAGGGCTGAATATTCTTGTACTGCTCGTAGAAGTTGTTCATGTCCGGCACCAGGTCGCGCACCACATACATGTGCGGCAAGGGATACACCTTCAGCGACTTGGAGGTGTTGGTATCGATCTTGCTAATGCAAGCCAACGTGTTGATGCCGCCAATATTCATGGCGCAGGAGCCGCAAATTCCCTCGCGGCACGAGCGACGAAAGGTCAGAGTCGGATCCATCTCGTTCTTGATCTTGATGAGCGCATCCAGCACCATGGGGCCACAGTCGCGCAGGTTCACCTCGTAGGTCTGCATGTGCGGCTTCTCGCCAGCATTGTCCGGGCTCCAACGGTAGATCTCGAACTTCTTTATCTGCGGCTCCTTGGCCTCCTTGGGCTGGGCCTGTTGATCTAACTGGGCTGTGCCATTGCTGATAGCGCGCAGCTGCAGAGATACAAAGATAATATTAGTCTGCTGGTCTGCTCTCGTGTGTGTAAGTGTGGCAGCCCGAATGTCTGGCTGCAGTCACGCCATAACGATTTTGTCCAATTGCTGGGTGCAATAACGTTTACATAATCGAAAATGTTCGTCTTACTTTTTCAAACTGCGACTCATTCGTTGTGAATTTCGGTTTTAATTATATCCCAAGCAGTTTTGGCCCGCCTTATATAACTGCACTGGCCGAAAAGCCGCCCGCCCATGAGCTCTGCGGCCAGGAGACACCATTCCCATGTCCCATCCTCTTCTCACCTGGTGACGTGCCGCCAAAGAACTGGCACGGCTCAATACTTGTCTAGCTTCGTTGACCAACATATTCTCGTAGTCTGTTTGGGGAATTGAAACGGCACTGCGTTTGCAATTAAATTTTAAAAATTTTTATAAATTTTATTGCACTGTTTTCAGTGACCGCGGACTTATCGATAAAATATACCGTCCTACCCTCAGAAATATACCAAAATGTACCGCCTCATTTTCAAAATATACCGTAAATATACTGACGAATTCAAGTTATATTTTACATATTCCTCGATTTTGATCTTCCGTCGAATATTACTAGCTATATAGAACATTTAGCCATGCCCACTCAATTATGTACGATTAATGAATCAATTTTCTACTTGACTGGCCTATTTAAAACATTTGCTTTTATTGTATTTTGGCAAAAACAAGGCATAAACCAAATAGTTCAACAAAAAAAAGAGTCGCAATGTTGCTGGTATTTGAAGACGTGATGCGTGTATAGCCCTTTGTACACCCTAGTTGGCTAATTTTATATGAAGATCAAACGTAATTTATTAAGACCATTTCTCAAATTGATATTCTTTAGACATATTCAAGTACCTTTTTAGTATCTTGTATATATTTATGTCGATCCTGATACCTACTAAACCTTGGAAGACAAACGTATTCACAATTCTATAACATTCATTTCCCTCAGGGTATGTGTGCATGGAATGAGACTCATTGTTGTCAATCGGGTAAAAGAGGTCCTTACCCGATTCAAGTTCGGATTTCGGATTCGGGCCATTACCGACTCAAAAAATACGACAAATTTTTGGCTCATAATATATTTGTAAGTGATATTTTGGTTGGACTGGCGGAAATATTAATATGGTCGCTAGTTTTCTGAATTCAAATCAAATGAACCAAATACTTTTGGCTCTGTTTCATGTACAGGGAAAATATCTATATTTTTGTGCGATTAACTGAACTTATCGGCCATTTATTTCAAAATAAAAATCTCAACTATTGTTAATGATACAATTTTTCCGTCATTTAAAAGTTATGTTCGGTAAATAATACGTATTCACGTTCGAGCGGACCCATCGACTATAGTGTTTTCATGATCATATCATATTTCTGCGCGGCTAGAACCAGGGCGAACCAAATAAAGGGATAACACATTGCTCAATCTGGATGATATTGTTATTGGCGAAAGCGAAGATGAGGTCGATGACAATGACGATAATGAGGAGGGGGCTGCAGAAGCAGCCCACTCGATTTCAGTAATGAGGAGGCCCCAACAAACACCGACGACGAGGGTTTGAAAAGCGGCGATCCGAACTTCAGCCGACAAATCAATCCGATTCCGATGAGGAATAGTCCTTTTTTTCTATTAATTAAGCGAAAAAAACTTATGTCGATTGTGTGAAATGGATTGAATGATTGCTTCCCTCGATTTGAGAGGAATTCAAAGAGGAAAAAACTTTGTTTTAAGAATCAATAATACATCGAATCTCAGGAGGAGTTTGGAATAATGTTTCGTTCCAGATTTTGACCCTTGTCTAAGCTGCTGGCACAATTCTTTTCTAAATTTGTTATTGGGAAAAAACAAAATTTAGTTCGGAAGTCTGTAAAATAAGTGAAGTCTTGTAACTCATCATTAGGCGATGAACTCTGTACGCTTGATGTACAGGCGTATCCAGTGCGCATCCCAGGCCAAATGTAGAGGTGTGGTACAGCGACGGCAGTACGCCGAGAAATGCGACTCGGTTATTAAGGGCGTTGTGGTGGGCGTGTACGCCAAGGAGGGCGACCGGCAGCCCAAGATGACATCATCCGGCGAGAAGTTTGACGATCGCGTGCAGGGCAAGATCTCGGATCTCATACGCGAGACTGGAATAAAGGGCCAGCTGGGAAAAGGCCGAGTCTTCATGAACGTGGATGCGGAGTTCCGTGCGGTGGCCGTGGTCGGCGTGGGACAGGAGGGTGCTGGCTTCAACGACCTGGAGATGATCGACGAGGGAATGGAAAACGTTCGCGTCGCTGCCGGCGTGGGTGCTCGTGCCCTTCAACTGCAGGGCTGCACAGATGTCTTCGTTGACTCGATGGAGTATCCGGAGCAGGCGGCCGAGGGGAGCTCTTTGGCCGTCTGGCGCTATCATACTAACAGGCGCCTACCGACCCGCATACACATTCCCAAATTGGAGTTGTACGACTCTCCCGACTCGGATGCCTGGCTGCGTGGCTTGTTTAAGGCCGAATCGCAGAACCTGGCACGTCGCCTGTCCGATACGCCTGCCAATCAGATGACGCCCTCAATCTTTGCCCAGTCAGCGGTGGATGCCCTGTGTCCCTGCGGGGTATCCGTGGAGGTACGTGGCATGGACTGGATTGAGTCCAAGAGCTTGAACAGCTTCTTGATGGTGGCCAAGGGCAGCTGCGAGCCGCCGATCATCTTAGAAATCGCCTACTGCGGCACCGCACCCAAGGACAAGCCAATCCTCCTGCTGGGCAAGGGTTTGACGTTCAACAGCGGGGGTCTCTGCCTCCGTCCAAAGGACTGTTTGTCCATGTACCGCGGCTGCATGGCCGGTGCAGCAGCCTGCGTCGGCGTCATCCGTGCCGCCGCCGCCCTGTCGCTGCCCATAAATATTACGGCACTGCTGCCATTGTGCGAGAACATGTCCTCTGGAATGGCGGCCAAGCCTGGCGACGTAGTGACCCTTCTCAATGGCAAGTCGCTCGGCTTCGTGGACGTCAGCAAGGCTGGTGTGGTGGCAATGGCCGATCCCTTGCTCTACGCTCAGGCTGCATACAAGCCGTGCATGGTCGTGGACGTTGCTACAGTTGGCTATGCCGTCTGCCCAGCGCTGGGAGGATCAGCCGCGGGGTTTTTTAGTAACTCCAATTTTCTATACAAGCAGTTCGAGAAGGCCGGTGCC